TTCTGTACTGGGGGAGGAGTCCCTGTAAACTGTAAACTACAAATGAATCCACTCCAAAGAGTGTGGCACTGGCATTTGGGCCTCTGTGTTTGCAGTATTGCAGTACGTCGCACTTTTGCTGTATGATCAAACTGTGGGCAAATGCCAGGTTTTTTGGACAGTGCTGATCAGTATAAGATGGACCAGCTTCATCGGTCAGCATCTCCCAACATCAACAAGCATCACCCCCTATTGACCAACATCTCCCAGCATCAATAAGCATCGCCCAATATTCCCCAGCATCACCAAGCATCGCCCAGTATCAGCCATCATCTCCCAACATCAACAAGCATCGCCCAATATTCCCTAGTGTCACTAAGTGTCGCCCAATATCAGCCATCATCTCCCAACATCGTCAACCATCAATCAGCATCACCAAGCAACACTGTCCAACACTGTCCAACACCACCCCACACTGCACAGTCATTCTTTACTAATAACTGATGAGATCTTCACCATCTCCCCCCCCCCGCCCCCCCCAAACACAGAGCTGCTAAGTTTGACCGGCTGCTGTCTGTGTAAAATATTTTTGCTCAAGTAACATGACAACTGATTGATGAGGCTCTTCTGAAGCCTGTCACATTTGGCATGAACTAAATGCATTTAACCTGCCACTGCTCCACCTGCTCAGTTTCCACTGCAGCCCAATGAGACAGAGCAGGCCGGCCCACTGGTTCCCCACACGTCTAAAACATGCAATCTATCATAGAGCCAAGCACTGTCCAACCTCTGATATGGCTGTATGCGTTTCCCATTTGATTTATGTGTGTGACTCAAGTCTGCTGTAATGTATCAAGGCCAGGCTATCTGACGGGGAAGGTGGCAAGCACTGTGATTATGTTATGACTTCCCCTGCAATGTTTCCATTGTAAATTATCCTACACAATGAAAACACTTTCACAGAATTGAATCTCATATGGATGGTCTGCTTGTTAAAGAAAAGCCATGGTGACCAGCAGGTGGCAATGAACACTCTTTTCTTTTTCGCACAGATGTAGTTTGAGGTTCCCAAATACATATTCCGTGCATGAAATACTGACGTGCTTTTCAGCAGCCCAAGTGCAGGCTTATCATTAAAAGCAAAAACAAGCAAAACTTGACTGTCATGCAATTAATCTTCACTAATTCATTAAATTAAATTGTGAACCATGGAAATTAGTCGAGCTTTGGAAAGAAGATAACACAAAGTAAGGCATTCAGGACATGACCTGTATTTCCACATGATGATTAAAAGTTGCCAGAAATTGCTTAAGTATTGATAATATTATTAATTATTAGTTTTATTTTGTGTTACCTGACAGGCCACATGGAGGTTCTTACAGTGATCTCCACCTTTTGGCTTTGTAAATGAGGGCACACATATCTGTCCTCTGGCTAATCTGGTTTCCTTCCACAGTCTGAGACATGCGGTTCAGATGAACTGGCGTCACTAAATCTCCTCATTGTGTGTGAGAGTGTGCCCTGTGATGGACGGTCCGAGATGTGCCCTGTGATTCCCGGTATAGGTGACCCTGTACTGAATAAGCCATTATGGAAGATGGATGAACATGTGACCTGATTCTGAGACTGGAATATGAGCTTCCTGTACATCTCAGCCAGGTTGATAAAATTCATATTTCTTTGCCTGCATCTGTAATTAATTATGTTATAAGTAATGTATCACCAGGCAGTGCAATGGAAAATCTCTTACTGTTGTTCCTAAACATAACCTTAAATAAATTCATAATGTATTTTCACATTGAATCTACTAATACAACATAGCTGCCGATCCTCTAATCTTCTAAATAAATCAAGGAGGTTCCCCTGACATTAATCCATTCTCAGCAGATACTGTAGCAGCGTGGGGATAGGGGACACCTAATGACGTGTTTGTTGATGACAGACAACAGAGAGAAACCAGGCTTCCAGATTTCAATGAGATTAATAAACAGATTATTTCAACATGTACAACAGAGACACAGTTGATGCAGCAAATCTGACATGCCCCGGATATGTAAATTTCCCGGGAGAGAAACTGGAGTGTGACTGTTTACTGGGGAAAGTGACTCTGTGAGCACAATTATCAGAGAGAAGACAGCAAAAACACACATAGATGCCTTCTCACCTTCCCTACACGCTGTCACACAAATACTGTAAGTGTCAGAGTTTCTGGGTATATGCTAAGTGCAGCTGCTCCAAGATGTGTGGAAAGAATATCATAAACACAACAGGGTTTCTCAATACAGCAAGGCTGCCCAAATCACACAGTTTTCTGTAACACTGTGAGTTCTCTGAAGTACATCATTTTAATCACAAACTAATGCCAATCCGGTTTCATTTACGTATCCGTAATATCTCATCTAACTCCTGTCCATAAGCTTTAGCATTGCTATTGCATCCATGCATGCAAGGATTAACTGTTTTGCTGTAATTTTGGCTCAGTGAGATAGAACAACTTTTATTCTTGCCGCTTACTAAAAGATTGTAGATTCTGCTTCAGCTTCAACTCTTTCAATCTTTCAATCTAGCAGATCCAATCGCATAATAGCACTATTTTCGATATACTGTCACCTACATGGACCTAGAGAATACAAATCACTGAATGTCCTGCAAAAACCATGTTTCCACATTGACATGATAAATAGAACCAGCATCAAAATAAAAAGCTAACATGTAAACAGTCAACAGTAAAATGTTAAAGAAAATATAATAGAAATTTAATTTAATTTTTTTTTTAATAAAATTGGTAAAATTTTACTTGAGGGAGCACACATAATGTAGTAATACACTCTTAATTAATGTATTAATTAATCATAAAGTGATCTGTCTGCATACTGATCTATGTTCATTAATCATTAATCAAACACAACAGTTCACGTATTTCATGCAATTGTTGTATTTGAGCCAATACTGAATAGTAATTGAGTTACTAGGGTACTTGTGGCCCCTCAAGTAAAGTGGTACTCTAAAATCTCACAAAACTGCATATGCAATTTTAAAGGACAGCTTTGACATTTCATTTTTGTTTTCTTGTGTAGACTGGTTCATCCAGCACAAACTACAGTTTGTAATAACTTAAAACAAAAACTCAGTAGACAAAACTAATATATAAGCAAATTTGTTAGGTAGGTATGCAAAAATTGATTGCATCACTTACAAGGTTGTTATGGACTGAATTCAGTTTATATTGAGCAGTTTTAAATGAGTTTTCAGCGATAAACATAATCAAGCTCAAGTTTCACATTGTAACCAAACAAAAATAAATTAGGAAAGTAAAGTCAGTGGAAGCGCTTTTCCATTTCTCTAAAAGACGAGGTCTGAAATGACCAGGTTTATTTCCATAATATGGGTCTATACTGAAGATTATGTGACCTACAATGACAATGAATGGATATGAGTGAAATGCTGCTTTAGCCTGTCAGACTGACCTAAAAATATGCAAAAGAATCAATGTTAATAACAGAACTTATTGAAGTTTGTTTATATCGCTTACAGTAAAATACATGTTGTACTGGGAAATGTATAAAGCAGATTTTGCAAAACCATTCACCCAACAGCTTGTGGCTATATGAAGTCAGATAATAATACATTCATTTCATTTTCCTGTACAGGAATCAGTGCATTGCATTCAGGCATCAGTAAATCAGCTCAGGTGATGAAGCTGATGCATTATAAAAGGTAAATAGCTGGATAGATCATAATGAAAACAATTTGCAGAAACTGTGTTAGACAACAGGAGAGTCACGGCCAAGACAACAATGGCGATAAAAAATGTAGACATGAAGAAAAACTGAATCATGAACCAGCAGAGATTTTAAAAGCCTGAGACTGACACAAAGGTGGTAATGCGAGCAGGACAGAGCAGTGAAATAAATCCACTAACAAGCTCCCAGACAAAGACACTATGGTTACAAAGTCATAATGCATAGTAACGATAAGAGGAAGATAACCTACTTTCACATGAAATCCCCTTCTAGTTACACGGCCACGATGCATTGGGATGCACAGTGAGTGGTTTGCATCAGACTGATGTGATAGCATTTTTCTGTAGACAGACATGATGTTAAAGGTATTATCCCCGATGATGTATCCCCGCAACAGGGCCATGAGCACAGGAAATCACAACTTTTAAGTACCTTAAGTCAAGCTGATTACACATTAATCTTGCATTTATTCATATTCATTGGGGCCAACCATGTGGCACACTTGCATTTTTAAATTACTTTTATCTAGCACATCAGAGCAAAACACATGCAAAAGTATTTTTAAAGCAGTTCAGATTTGTTCGGAGAATGACAGCCCACCAGTAAATGTATTTGGTAATGAGGACTGAGGTTTTGCCTTGAGGTGGAAAAAGAGACAATTTCACAGCGCCATTTTCCCATCTGACAGCTGTCTATATTTTTAATGTAACATAAAGTGTCAAAAAAGAAAGCTGAATTATACATAAGGGTGGCAAAGTGGGGCATCACTGCTGCCTCACACCTCCAGGGTTGATGGCCTCCCATGACCTTGTACTAGATAAATGGCTGGAAGATGGATGGGTGGTTATGTGTGCATATATGCATAATATATATGGTAATGATAAAACAGACACACACACGGATAAAAATGTATACACAACTTTCTATATGCTATACAGTTACCTGGCAACCTTAAGGAATCAGACATATTTTTTTAATATTTAAAAACGAGTTTAAAAACACACTAAACATGAGACATATGGATGTGGGATTTCATCAAAATGAGAAGAAAATGAATCTCTTTTGCAGAGCCTCTCTCTAGCCCTAGGCATTACAGTCTGTGTGTTACGAGCTAATATGCTTTAAAATTTCAGGTTGTCAGCTCAAGAATTAAGCCGAAGCTATTTGAGTCTAGGCTTTGAGATCCTTCCCCCCCGCGCATAGCGCAGGATGGTTTTGTCCAGGAAGCATCGCTTTAAATAGGCTGAAGGACTGACTTCCCCTACACTCGGATGGGACGGGCCGTCGGAGCTGGTCCTGAGGTCCGAGCCAGGACTGAAGTCGGAGCGGCTTTTTGTGTGGACACGCACCTCCAGGCAGGCGGCTTGCCGCGGCAGGCAGGGAGGTGCCGGACATGGCCTCCAACTTCAACGACATCGTGAAGCAGGGATACGTGAGGATCCGGAGCAGGAAGCTGGGGGTAAGTGACAGCTCACCGGCACTGGGCACGCGACTGTGCAGTGCCTGACAGGACGGAGCGTGACTGGACGGCGCGCGACAGGACGGAGCGTGACAGGTCGAAGCGCGACCGGACGATGTCTGACAGGACGGAGCCTGGCCGTGCGTTTCAAAGGAAAAAAAGAATAAAAAGCCACAAGTCTCGCTTTGAACTTATTGTTACTGTATACTTACTACACCGTTTAAGAAATTGCCAGCATATCAACAGCATTTGCTGTAGGTGTAAATTAGCGTGAGAAAATAGCTTCACATTTTTATATACAGTATTGCGACGGTTACATTAGTACATTGGGCAAATTGGTGTTTTAAATATGTTGTTTAGAACTTTTAAGCAGCTTGCGAACGTTTGTGCTTATTTGATTTTTAAAGTTATTAAAAATTGTAATTCGAAACAGCTAATTTTCAAGTTATATGGTTGATAATTTACCATGGGAACCATACGGTAACCATACATAAATGTATGTATGTATGTATGTATGTATTTCCACATATATGTTTGTGTGGGTTTGTGCGTCTGTGTATTTGTATGTGTCTGTGTGTGTGTGAATGCGTTTGTGTGTGTGACAGTGTTTGTGGGTTTTTATTTGTACAGTAAAACCTGTTACTTTTTAGCTTGTGGGGTTAGGGTTAGGGTGGTTCAGGTTCCCAGACTCCCCACAATATAAACCTCAATAAATAAAAACCCACGAAGGCAATGAAAAATAGCCACAAGTCTTGTTTTGTTAGTTTTATCTTAGGATTAGGAGGTCTTAGTTAGGATTGCGGTTATGCCCATGAATGGAGAGTCTGCAGAATGATAGCAATAAATGAAGTGTGTGTGTGCGTGTGTTTGTGTGAGTGTCTTCTGTACTGGACCATGATGCCTGATTTATCCTTGGGAAAATGAGAAAACCAATTTCTGAGCGCACTTTCTAGAAACTTCATGAGGCTGAAACCCAGCTGTCGATTGCAGGGTATTCATGTTGTGTGGAGATGTTTTAATGGCCTGAGGTTGTGAGCAGCACAGTGCGGCACATTGGCGAACCGGGGAGCCATAGCAGCATCCGCCACATTGAATTGTTTTCGTGGGAGGAGGTGCTTTGCTTGCTGCCGTGCCAAATTCTTTGGTGCAAATCGATGATGCCAGCCTCTTAAACACAATAATGCCTGTGTAAAAACAGACACTGGTGATTTGCTGATGGCATGTGCACGGGCATTTAAATGTTGTGTTCTTGCACTGCCTAGTGAACCCAGATTTTATTTTTGGAGATTGTTGCTTAGATTTGAAGTCAATGTTCAGATCTAATTCGAGTGTAAAAGTTTATTTTAGTTATTTAGTTAAAATTTAGTTATAGAGAATCCCCCCCACCCCCGGCCCTACACGCACACACATGTTTTCATTTATATCTTTGTGAGGATCATCCATTCATTTCTATGGGAAAAACCCTAATCCCAGCAATGACAACTTTAACCCCTACCCAGCCCTAACCATAACCATAAGTAACCAAACAAAATACAAGACACACACACACACCACACTGTACTATGGTAATGGCTGTACAGCGGCAGATGAATGCCTCACTCAGTCTGTTATCTTGTCAAACAAGACGCTGGTCTATAAACCCCAGCAGCAGAACCACACAGAACAAGCCAACTGCCTTCCTATTAGGAATATTTTTGATAAGAAAAAAGCAATCGCTTAACATTTGCTGGGGGTGTTGTAAACAGAGTAGGTGTTTTCAAGCCCTTGTTGCCTCCAGTGTTGTGAACTTCATGTAAATTCCTTCTCTATGTGTGGTGTTTGCCAGTGATTTGTTCCTATTTCATAATCGTTTGTAGAAGACAGCTGAAAACAGCCTATTTATCTGCTGACTTGGTGTATTATGCATGGAAAAATGCATGTGAAAAGTTATCCTGTGTTATACATATGTTCTTCTAGAATGTTCTGAGAGCATTAAAGGTCTTACAGTAGCTGTTACTTCATGCCGATATAGATGTTTTATCCAGTAATTGCTTTGTTTTTATTTAAATTCCAGTGTAAAGTAGTATTTGGGTTCTGTACTTGATGGTGTTTTTATATGCATTGGTTTTTAAATTCACATGTCTTACTTTTTTTAAGTAAATTTGTGTGAAATTCAACGTCTTTGTGACATAATCATTTATTGATTTTGAATAGAAATTATGTATCCCATGTGAAGCAAGTGTTCCACAGTTACATGTATACTGCAACAAGAAAAGAGCAATACAAGCAGGAAATCCTCAGCTAATCATGAGCTCTGCCTGAATCCACAGAAACAAGCGGGCCCACATCATTTTTGAGATTCAGTGTATTACAGCAAATTACTGGGGAGAACAGAGAGCGGGGAATGAGAGTTCTGCCTTCATGGACTGATGCAATGTTTTCGTGATTCATTCTTTCTTAATGAGTGGCTGCTGAAATCAGCTCATCCAAAAATCTTTAAGGTAATTACTCAGATTGCAAGGCCAATGACCCTAGAAATGGACCGAAATGGACCACAAAAGGCTATAAATGAAGCCTGTTCTTTATAGCATTCCATGAGTTTGTAAAGTTCTTGGGTTCATGTATTGTATTGTTCATGTATATTTGTATTGTACATCAGATTTGCTGATTGTTAGGTGCTTATCTCAGAGTTTATCTTCAAGCCGCTTATATCAAGGTCTTTGGCTATCTGATGATTATGACAGTAGATAGGATGAGGTTACAGGAGTGGCTTAAGTCCTGCTACCCTCTTTCTCAATCAGTAAACACCAACATAAAGTATGTAAACACATGTGCAGTCCAGGTGGAAACAAGCAGTTGTTTACTTAAATAGGAACGTGTTGTTTCAAGGTTCAAAATTATAATACAGATGCTCCTTTACTTGTGATCTTTCAACTTTCAGACATACGAACAAAGAGGACTGTAAGTCCGAATTGTGTTCATTGGGCTCCCGTTTCCTGTCCGCAACATCAATTTTTTTTTCTGCGCGCCAATTCCGCCTAGTACAACTTCTGGCCGCTATTCCCACAGCACAGCAGTGTAGCGTGCGTACTTCCAGCATCCTAGTTCTTAGTACTTGCATACACCCTTAAAATGATATTGAATAACGACTTGCAAACATTTCAAGTTATGAACAGATGTTCGGAATGTATCTCGTTCGTAAGTAGAGGAGCGTCTGTATTTCTAGTGTGTTTTTTCATTTTTTTCTTTTAGCAGTACAATGCGTTTGCATTCCCGTGAGTTTTATGAGTATAGAAGGTCACTCTGTGGTTCAAGATCACTCATCTTGCAGTGAAGAGAGAGGTGTTGGTCCACACTTAACCCCAAGCACTTATAGGTGCTTCCATATTTTAAGAGATGGCAAATGTGTTTTTAAGTGTTTTTATGTGGAACCACAAATCTCTGTCACATCTCTCTCTCCCCGTTTCTCTTTGTGTCACGTGACTGCGCTCTGCTGTCACTGGTACTCACCCACATGGCAATAACCCATATCTGACTGTAAAATCATCTGCAATAGTATTGAAGTCATGGATCAGAGGCTACATTGAAGTTTTATTACACTATTCGTCCTTATATGTGTGTCATTGAGGTCTCTAACTTTGTATTTTGTGTGAGTATGCTGACTTGACTGCTGAGATCACGAAGTCAGAGGTACCTTATCTCACATATTTTTGGGGATAAGTTAATAACTGCTGATTGAGCATTACCAGCTTTCCTCTGTGTACAGAGTTGGGGGGAGGCGTCCATTGCTTCCTGGGGATTGTTCATTGAAAATGTGTCAAAATGGTGAGTGTTTTTTGGTGCCAGCAAACTGTAAATAAATATGGCAGAGATGAGTAGTGAACAAAGAGGTATTGTGTGCGTGTGGGACTGTTTCACATTCACTGTGTCCCCCGTCCGCCAACATCAATAGTGGCAACATTTAACTCTCTGAAATGCCTGAACGAAATTCAGAAATTTTCACTGCTCGAGGTTTTAAGAAGCAATTAGCAGGAAATTGAACTGCAGCATAATACTCAAAAAGAATGTTTGTTTAGCAGTTTTGTGAGAAACATGGGGGTAGCTTTATTCATCTGGCTGACATGAAGAGACTTGTGGTGATTTATCCATCCACCCATCTTCCATAACTGCTTATCCTGTACAGGAGTATGGTGACTTTCAGTGATATATGGTTCTGTTCATTTGGAATGCAGGAAAGTTGACAAACAAAATTATCATCATATTGTTTGTCACTGATCCATTAGAAGAAACAAATGCTTTAAAGTCACAAAATGTGACAAAAAGCATTTAGAAGTTGACTGATTTGATGTATATAATATATAAATTTGAGGTATAAATTGTACCATAAGTGTGTGAGAATAGTGTTTAGTATAAATCTTCTCATCCTTGTTTACTTGACATGTCTTTTCCCATTAACAGTCTTAAATCAAAGACATATGTGCCTTGTTTAATATAAAGTCATTTATACAAATGGCACTTTAGCCCACATATGCTTTATTTCATACTGTTTTTAATGTAGCAAACAATATTTCATATGTTTTTATATAGCCATTGTGAAGGAAATATTCAGTTTTTATTTAATCAGATGAATTCCCACTGAGATCTGTAAAGGCATCAGAGCCTCCTGCTGATGCTGATAAATTGTTCTTCTGAGCGTACGGGAACAATATTACAAATATTATTCTCAGTGAAAAATGTTTTCCAGTTATACAGCAGCTTGCAGGAATTAATCTTGCCCCAGTTCACAGCTGAACATTTTAAATCATTGATTTCTGCTGTTCTTAATTATCAGAAAAGCTTTTACTTTAAATGGGGGACAAATACATCAGCTGTTTGCATTGTCCATGAGGATGAAATTGATTTGGAAACATGAACGGGAGGAGGTGCTGGATCCTGAAGCTTTTCCATGAGCTTCCGTGCTCTTCTGTACCATTATGTTCATTTTTGCAATATGCCATCGATCCCGTGGCTCTTGTTTTGTG